TCAGGTAGGTGGGTGGGCAGAGCAGGCTGGAGGCGTGATGGGGTAGCTCAAGATGTTTTTTGGGGAATCACTTGTTTTTTACTTAGTAGGTGCATTACTGTGAGCAAGGTGAGGAATAAACTATACATAGTTCCTGGAGAACTCAATTGGGATGCTTTTCATAAGAATATTTTATTAATACTTGAGAATTGAGAACATACAAATTAAATTCACCAGAAAGGCATATAAATTATAGCTAACCACCAGGAGCACATTATTAGAGATGTTACTAATATCAAAATGAATTTTGTTTGCATTTTACTTGCCCTCAAAACTGTTCAGAAACTCTAGATTTTCTGTTGCTCATGTAAGATAGTCTCCTCACATCTTTGAGCTCCAAAAACCAAACAAAAGAATTCTTTATAAAAAGTCAAATTAATAGTTAAACCAGCACAACTAGGAATCTGGCCTGGAGCCTCTGTAGAAGACTTATAGCACTGCTGGTCCTGCCTTTCAAACAGGTGGTACCAACACCCAGTAAAGCCCCAGGGAGGGATGGGGGAAGTGCTAGAGCTGAGAGGAATAAGGACAAGTTCATGGAGGAGATGTATCTCAGAGGGAGGCAGGACCTGACTAGGGCCCAGCCTTTCTTGGGGATGAGCTGGAGGGAGACACCACTGGCATCTTAGCAGGATGCTCCTCCGGTGCAGGGACTGAATGTGCTGAGCACACATTGTAGGCAGGTCATTTGGCACGTCCACCTCCACCACATACACACTGAAGGACAATAACATCTCCAGTCAATGTAACAACAACAAGCAAAACAAAACCCACACACATTTCAAAATGCCCCTGGAGCCTGGATGAAAATCACACCACTGAGCACCCCTAAATAAGTAGAAAGAAGAGACAAGAACAGCAGGTAGAAAGTCAAAGAGAGACAAAGGGAAACACAAAATTTTATGAGGGCCCAGCAGAAAAAGGGCATCCTTCAGTGACTTTCCCTGCCAAATCAAGTCCCAACTCCTTAGAAAACAAAGCCCTTCAGAACTCGACCCCACCTATCCCAGCTGCCTCCACTCCAGCTTTCTCCCCAAAGACACTCACCTCCACCCTCCCTTCCCAGACAACTCCTGGTTTTCCTGACCAGAGATGCCATGTTTAGACTTCTGGGCCTCGGCATGTGCATTCTCCTCTCCCTGGAGTGCACTTCTCAGGGCAAACTCCCAGTCATACATCAACACCCAGGACGAAGGTTTGTGAAGCCAGACACACATAGCGCCACGCAGGTGCACAGCAATCAGACCTATGCCAGATAAGAGATGCTGTGGGCAGTACTGTCTTTCCATTACCTTCTAGGACCTTATTTCTTTTAGGCCTGACCTAATTTAATTCCTCTTATGGCTCTTAACCTGCTGAGTTCATTTGAATCTTCCCAACTGTGTACTGTGAAGCACTCTGTTCACGAAGAGAATGAAAATATTCAAGTATTTTTTAAAAAGAATTTTCACTAGTCTTTGTACCTAGCTAGCATATGAAGTAAAACATTCCCTATATTTCTAAAATTACGACCAAATTTAAATGTTTCTGAAACAAATTTGCTTGTAAGAGTAAAATATGCTAAAATTCCAAAATTATTAATAACACTAATTAAGGAAAACAGGGCCTAATGAAAAGAGCTCTGACAACTGAAACAGGATCTCACTCTACAATCTCCAATCTCTTTAGTTGTGTGATCTTAGGAACTGGCTTCATCTCAAAATACTTTCTCATTTGAGAAAGAGAGATAGCACTGCCCTCCCCTCTCTGCAGGGAGCTGTTCAGGCAACAGGAGACAAGGTATCTAGCACAGTACCTGACACGATGTGTTCATAAATAGTCTGCTTCCTTCCTTCAACACAAAAGACACACTCACATGAAGGTTTAGGTATAAGGGAGTCCACACCTCCACAAGTCTCCATCAGCACAAAATATCACAACAGTTAGTTGTAAAAAAAAAAAAAAAAACAAACAACAACAACACCGTCACCCCCAACCC